TCTTCAATTCGATAAAAAATTTCTTCAATTTCGGTAATCACTTTTGTTATAAACACTTCTCTCTCGTTCGGTTGAATTATTCGGAATTATTATTCAAGCGTAGAAAAAATACACCAAGTACATAAAGAGATGGCAGGATGATTGTTGTTGTTTATCGGTGAAAATTTTTCTTCTCTTCTGTTTACGTTTCTGGACGCTGATGTGTATGTATGTATATATACATATATGGCACTGTGTGTAGTACGGGAAATGGCCGGCCAAGCTGGACGACTCTCGAAACACGCCAGACGTTTTTATTTACGACGGAAGTAAGTGAGCGAGCGAGCGAGCGAGCCTTCCGCGCGTTTTTTTCCTTGCTTTTTTGTCGCGGCGGCCACGAGACACTGTGCTCGGTCGACGCTCGACGGAATCGTCCTGCGCAATAGGAACGGGGTAAACGTTAAACTCTCTCGCTAATGGCACTCAGACCGGCTGTCATGAATGGCGTGCATTGTGTCGTTCGGGAGAGGCCGCGAACGATTGTGTCCCCCGTACCACGAAACGTCTCATCGCGGTCCACCGACCTTCTGTCGCTCCAATTGCCGGCTGTTTCATCGGTGATTAAACGAGCATGAACCCGATACGATTTTTTCCGATCACGAAATCACACTGTGAACTGAAAGCGCGCGCACCGAACGTTAACCGAACACGGTGACACTTTTTTGACATGTGAATTCGTAAAAGTCACAGACACGTACGACGGTAGAAACGAACGGACAGATTCTGTGTTGTCAAACGTTTTCGGTTCTATAGAGAGAAAACGAGGTTATCGTACGGCGGCGCGACAACATTTCTCCGAACGACGAGCGTTCGTACCTAACCTAACTTGTATACGGTTCGAAAACGCGGCGAGACGCCGAAGGTCGAGATACGACGGCACTGGCGCGACCAGAAGAAAAATATCTCACGGCTGTAGTACGTGCAAACAAAACGACATTCACGGTTACGTAAAATACAATAAACGAGAGTGGTACGAGCGTACGATGCTGAAAGGCACGAAGCCGGCTAACGCGAGTAACCTCAAACATCCGGCACGTATTACCGACTCTGCCAAACGTAATCGTATGTATGCATGGACGAGTTACAGCGCACGCAAAAAGCATTCGGTTTTATCGGTGAAACGGCGTGTAACGTCACCGCGCAGCATGGTGGCCAAGAGAGGAGCCGGGGCGAAGCATTTCGTGGGTACACGGGACACAGCGTGTGTTTGGCGAGAGTGCGAGAGAGAGAGAGAGAGAAAGAGAGAGACGTACTTGATGATTCCAGGGCAGTGTGGATGGCTGTTCTCGGATGGCAGGATTCGCGGAGGAGCACGAATGCTCCTCTCTCGTGGTAATATCACAACGGTGACGATTCACGGCAGGCGTCGCCACTCCTTCACGGGACACCTGTGTGCCTTCGTAGCTGCAGGTGAGAGGAGAGCGAGACGGAGCGAAAGGACGCAACGATTATAAACACAGAAGCACATACTACGCGCGTACGCACAGAGAGACACGTAGAAGAGAGACAGAGCGATGGTAGACACAACTGTGTAGAGAGGCACGGGTGCCACGAACTCCGAACTTAGCACGAGACGAAGAAGAAGAACACGACGACCACGATATCACGACGACGCCGACGACGACGAAGGCTACGAGGGCTACAACGACGTCGGTCGACGAGAAAGCACGCACACGAAAGTTGACACACACGCTCTCTCGGTCTCGCGCACACAACAGAGGACACAAAACGCGAAGACGTCTCCCGTTGGGATGTTCGTGAGAAAAACAGGCGAACTCGTGGACACGGTGTACGCTCGGCGGATTGCCTGATTCGCGCACGGGACGGATTCGCGACGGAATTAATTACCACTGCACCGATGCAACGTGTAAAAACAAACGGGCAGATCAGACGAACGGACAACAACGACGACGACGACGACCGCGCCACGAAACACACACCGAGCGAGGCTCGCGAACACTGAGGGCGGCCATGCGATCACGGCGCCGCCACGCGACGCCGCCGCGTATCACCGACCACGAGACAACGCCGCGCCAGCCGAGAGAATGGGGGAAAGTGAAGCTACTATACTGCCTTCGTCGTAATTTTTCATTAATGAATTTACGAAGGGCCTCGAACCGGCTGCCGCGGCAACAGGACGGGCCGTGGCTACGGAACCTATAGGGTGGAATAAATTGTTCCACCGTTCGCCGGGAATAAATATTCCCTGTAATACATTTTATTAACTTCCTGGTCGCAATTATAAAACCGTCGACGAAACGAAATTATTCGGTGGAACAGGGGTGTACTATCTGCTAGTTTATATTCTCGGATAAACGGTGTAACATTTGGCCAAAAATATATTCGTATGTTCGTGGAAATGTACGGTTACGCCGAAAAATATTCGGACATTCTTCACTTTCTAGTGATTTATCTGGGGTAATTATGAAAGAATTGAGCTCGAGCCTTTTTTTATTACGAAACGTCATTTATTGTACTCTAGAATTACATAATGTTCGTTTCAATGCAATTTCACGTCTAACATTGTCCTACAATGTTTATCGAAATTATTACCAAAATATTCGAGCACAGCAAAAATGAATATTTTTTTTTTTTTTTTTCAAGAAATACATTTCTTTACTTTCTTGTAATAATTCCTTTCAAATAATTCCAAACATCGAAATACTTAATTTAAACAACCTAAGTAAACGCGAAGTATAAAAGAACACTGGTTAATCCAGACCTAGTAAATTTAATCGAGAAATCGTAACAGTGCAAACATCGTTCGCATAATGCACGCGTGATCGTCATCCAGGTATATCGCGCTCAATTACACTTCGAAAGGTCATTCGTTGCTGTGCACACATATCCGTGTATGCACGTTCTTTCGTGTTTTCAATTCGCGAAAATTATAGATTGCACATTCGTGCATGACACGCTCGTGATCGACTTTGAAGTGTGTCCGATGATAATTGCAGACCATAGTCGAGATCTTTAGAAACGATACCTCATTCTGCAGATTGTAATTCCACGCTTCGCGGATTTTTCTTACATTTCGGTGTACTTACACTCATCGAACATTCTCATAGGCACACGTGGCAATTTAATTCCATTCATTCCGAAAATTTTTCCTGTAAACGAATTACACCTTAATTACAATCCTTTCCATAAACTTCCGGTGAAATCAAATTCAAGCGTTTTCGCGAAAGGCTGGAGATTTAATTAGACGCATCCAGCCAGTGCGGTAGTTAATGGAATTTCGATGCAAGGGTTAATTAAAAGTTTCAGCAAACAATTAGAGAAACAACGACATGGCGGTAGTCGGCTTTAGTTCAACGCTGGATAAATACAAAAAGTTTCAGCCGCGTTGGATCTTCATTTTCCGGAAGTAACTTCCGTCACATGATTAAACGCAACTCGAGTCTTCAACTGTTCGGTTAGAACGAAAACAGAAGCTCTTGCTTAATCGAACGTTTAAGATGGACCTGCACCATTTTACACGGCTGAACTTCAGAAGAATTCCTTACGAAGTAGAAGTATTTCTTGTTGAATCGAGAAATATCGAATATTTCACAGCGTAGTTAAATGGATAATCATTATATTCGATCGAAGAATATTCGTCAATACATATTCAGTATTTTACACGTATCGATCATTCGAAGGTGGGAAATTCCGAGCCCCAGAATACCCGGAAACTGAAGAAAATCCCAGAAACGAAGGATTTTCGCGAGCAACGAAAGATTCCTCGAGGAAAGCGAAACCTGAGAGGAATTCCGTCGAAAACGTCTAGTCAAATGCGACGAAATGCTGCCATTTACAAAGGAGTAAATCGTCTGGTCGAAACGACGTTTCATCGATGGACGAAAGGCGCGAACGTTCGAACTGTGGAAGTCGTTGAATGGAGCATGACGCGGACCACGTGGTATTTCAGAGGCGTCTAGACTCCCTAATTTAAACCGACTCGCGAATCTACCGACGTTTCGGCCCCGTCTAGCCGCTGTCACAACGAACGACTGAAATATGAGAAACACTCAGCCCTCCCTGGAACAGGCCAGCGGGATTTTTTCCACCACGGATCTCCTCGTTAGAAAACAAAGGAGGAGGGCAGCTGCCCGGGCTGGCTCGTTCCCTGTCCGATCCTCCTCGTCCCGCAAAGACGGGTGAAATTCGAATTTAATTCGGAAGTTGGTCGTGTTGAAAATAGAACGGAAACGGGTATTACGTTGTACGGTTTGCTAACAGCGGAGCACTCGTCTTTTATGCTCGATCACGGCTTAAGCAACGCGCGTCTGCGTCGAAAAGTAGTGGAAACCGTGGCCAAGAGATGCGTTTATTGGCACGGTCCCAGTGGAGTCGTTTCTCCAGTACGTACCTCGCGCCAAATGTGGCCTCGCGACAGCCCACGGGTGCGTAATTGCGCTCGCAAGAACGGAAAACAACTGTTTTAAATGCCACCGATATATCACGGTAATCTTGCGAGAGAAAGGCTACGGTTACGTTTCAGTTGAATGGTCAAAGTACACTTCCGTTTATCGGCCAGGAAGGTTCTCTCCGTTGACGGATATTAAGTCAGGTATAAACTGTCCTCTGAACCGATCCATCGATCGCGGTGAA